TGGACTACTTTCGGGTTAGGGATATAGCGTCGTGAAGGGGCCCTGTCAACGATTCGAAAAGTGGACACCTCCTTTGGGAAAAAAAATAACGGTCGTATGCAGAGGATTATGGCGATCTTAGTGTAAAGGCCATTGGTCACTGGATGGAGCGACGCCTGTCTGTGCCTGGGCAATACTCTTGACGTCATCAAGCGTTGTGGGAACCAAATTAGAAACTGTATCCCAGATGGTGCATGGGATACGCTTAACAACATATCCGATGTGGTCCTCAAGTTGAGCGAGAGAACCGGAGACGCCTTTATGCAGTCAGAGTTGTCCATCGCAATTTTCAGCGATGTATCAGACGAGAAAACGACGTTGTAACCATTAGAGCAGCGAGAGATAGAGGCAATTCCATCCTTGAGACCGGGCACTATATGAATGAAAGCAGACTTGACTCAGGTGGCGTCTGCTCTAAGAAGTGGAGCCTCTTCTTAGAGGCGGAAGATAGCCTTGGGGCCCTTGGTTGTTGCAGCTTGTTCTGGAACAGGCGTGCGAGGGGTGCGATGCGCAGACTTGGTCCGAGACGAAGACGGCGCCGTGGGGACTATTGCGGGAGGGCTTGCTGCGTTCGCTGCCCAATTTTTAGGTTGCTTCGAAGTAGGAGCAGGTGGTCGTGGTGGAATGTTTTGGCCGGGCTTGGGTAGGGAGCCCGACGATTTGGGTTGTACATGGCTGTCGAGTCGCATAAGGTGCCCGGAAGCAACTGCTAGGAGAAACGCGTCCATTTGCTCACGCACGAAGGACTGAATGAGAGGATCGGCGTCTTCAACGGCTGGCCAAAACTTGGTGTGAAAGGATTGGACCCAGACAGCTCGACCCTTTGCCACGCGCTGGGCCAAGGGAGGTGGTTGTTGTGATTTGGCCATCACGAGCACAATGACCAAACTATGATGCACTTTATAGTTATCGAAATGTAATAATCGACTTAGGAGAATAGCTGGATAGGATAAGGGAGACGACGATGTGTGTGGATTTTAGAATAATCAGGGCTATCAAGTAAGCCACATTGTTGGTACACACGTGACTACAAATTCTGTACTTAGTTTCACTTCGGTAGTCACTTAAATCAATGCGCTCTACAACCTCAATGACTGAGGGGTCATCGTTTCCTTAAGAGATATCGCTGAAAAAGATATGATTATCTTATCCAGCTTTCTAGACTACTTTTAACCTTTGATGCCTCTTTTATACTCCCAATTGCCGTCTCTAATCGTTCTATTAAGCTCAAATAGCTCGAATTAAGAGAATCTTGAATCTCAGTATACTCAATCAACACTTTCAGAGCCATTTCGGCTTCTTTTGCTGTCCATAAAGGCTGTTCATCTTGTACTAACTCTTCTTCTTCGTCTTGATTTGCTCTCAAATGTTCCCTTATCATCTCTTGTAAAATCATTGCCTCTTTAAGCATCACATTACCTTCCTCATCCTCCTCAATTGGACTAAGAAAATGTCTATTGCCATTGAATCTCGTATGTCTCCTGCTCTGACTACCTCATGAAATATTTCAGAAAGTCCAGTCGGAAGTACAGACGTAGGAAGAGCAATTGGTTTGGAAATAAGAGTCGATTTCCGAAAGCAATTATAAATCGTTGTATTTGTAACTTCGTTACTACAACTTCGTAAAATCCAGCGAATTGCTAGTCGAATATCGACAGTTGATTGTGGATCTGTACCCTCTTCAATTGCTTGTAGAACAAAGCGGAGCCAGCATCGTATGTAAAATACTTTGCAGTTCTCAATAATACCTTGATCAAGAGGTTAGTATGGGCTTGTACTATTAGCCGGAAGCCAACAAATCTTAATGTTTGATGGAGGAGGGTATAATTCAACGACGGAATAATGAGCAGAAAAATTATCCATTGTCAAGAGTACATCACGGGCATTTCCAATGTGGCGATAGAATTCTTCAAGCTATTTGCCCATAATTGCTGTGTTCATTCATGCTTTGGAATTCCACCTCCACTTGCCACCTATTGTCTGAATACTACCGATTTTCAAGGCCCGAGGCGCCTGATATTTGCCAATAATCCAAATGGGAAGTCGGTCAGAACCTGTAGCATTCGTACAAAAACAGAGAGATTCTCGGTCCCTGTTTTTCATGAGTCCGGGTTGAGATTGTGACAATAGCCTACGTGAAGGTAGTATTTTCCAAAAGAGACCTGACTCGTCTGTATTATATATGTTTTCTTCCTCGAACTCTCCTACAATTGTCTGTAGAGCTTTCATTTCGGCTTCGGCAGCCGCTGGAATTAAACCAACTTGACCGTGTCGTACCCGATTATGAATATGGTTTCGATTCTTTAACTTCTCGAGCCAACGAGCGCTGAATTCAGGGCAAAGTTGGCTAGCGTGCTGTGGTAATTGTGTCCAGATCTGCTTTGCCTTATCACGAAGCAAATCGCTAGTTGTGATCCCTCCTCCTTATTCAAATCGTTTTTGCCACACCAGAACAATACTCTCAAGGTCAGGCCAGTTTCCAGCTCACTTTCATAGGGCAGTAGTACTTGCAGCTTCGTCGATTTCGCAAAGGTATTGCTCAAGGACTCGTAGACTGTGGACTGACTTAATCGATGGCCGTACTCAGCGAAGGGCCACTCAATGCACATCCTTTCAAACATTCAGCTATCTTTCCTATTCAATCCAAATTATCTCACCCTGAACACCACACATTGAGCCTGGCAACAAGCTGGTCAAACAATTATCAAGATAATACAATAATTGCGGGTATAGGTGCGACACAATTGGCACAACATTCTTAAAGCCAGTGTGAACGGGAGCTCTGCCACAAAAAGAATTAAAATTTAGAAGGAGTGAAGCTGAGAGGTGTGGAATTAATTCTAACTATTTATTGTAAATACATCAGGATAATTTCAATTGCTAAAGATCAAATTTCTTGCTGATGGATTAATACTGGTAGCCGCTCTCAGACTTGTCCATATCCTTAGGTTAAGGTTGCTGGAACGGGCCACGAAACCAAGATGCAAGTGGCTTGCCAGAGCTCCGAGTGCCATGTTTCTTTCGTGCGAACCACGACATGCAGGGTGGTTGAGGTCTTTGTTTAGTGGATTAGAATAGTAGAATGGCGACTCAATAATCTGAACTCGGTTTTTGGAAAACGGGCGCCCCCACGTCGCGTGCTAGTACTTCTGCAACATATCACCTTTTTCCCGATTTATGATCTGGCACTTGAAATATAATTAAACAAAATTATGATGAGACCTTTTTTTTTAAATAAAATTTAAATTATTTAATGTGTATTCAGCTATCTAGCTATGACACATGACCGGTGCTATGTATACATGTGGGATGACTCTTTTGACCTTAGAGACACTCATACTTTGGATTTCATTTGCAAACACCACTATGAGGTATACTTGCTTACACAAACAGTCGACCCTCCTCCGTAAGTATCCACCAATGGGATTTTCAAAACCTTTGATTATCCAAGCATGCCTTTGTCATCCATGCATACCAGCGCCGCGAGAAATATGGTTGTGTTTTGCCGGATTTGGACCAACGATCTACTGTCTCGAGTGGGATATGTGTCCAAGCTATCCAGGCTCTACTTGGCAGACCGGTCAAGACGATGTACCACCGCACCATCCAGCCATGGCGGTGTTTATAGTGTCGCTAGCACTCTCGCAACCGAAGCCTTAGCGCGCACAACGCTCAACTCTTAAAACTCTTGCCAAAATTCGGAATTTCAAGCCCATCGATGTTAAGTCCATCCTCTACATCATCTTATCAACTTGTCCTGATCCCTCTCACGTCCATCCCAAAGAGCTATCTTCCAGATTTGTGCGCCATGCTTTGCTTCCTCTGTCGGGTGTTTAAATCGGCGTGGGCATGTATTTGGCGACCGGCTGAGGCCAGAGAAAGTCGACGAGAGGTGTGATCATTGGGATGAGGATGTACTTGGTCGTACTTGTAGACTTGATGAGGCTTAGGTAGGAATCAAACTCGTTGGGAGTGAAAATTTAACGTGATGGAGTAATTCGAATCGTTGGCTCGTGGGCCAAATTCTTAGATATTGTGAAATTGGACTGAATCTCGGCTCTGGGAGAATATTTCACTCCCAGGTTCGTGGAGGACACCGCGTACAGGTGTTCGGTCTTGCCCTCCTGTCATCGAGGTTGTGGAGCGTAATTATTCATGTTGCTACCGAAGAGAAATTTAAGGCTTTATTTGAAGTCACGTGCGTTTCAACGAAGTGGCCAACTTCACAGACTCAATGATAATAACTTCTACTACACAGGGAAAAGAGGATTGCGTATTATGCAGGGCCGAACTTCGAAGATGATCCCGTTCATTCTCGGCACACATAAAGGGGGACAGATTCGGGGAATGGCTTCAAGAAACTCGATTCTTTACAGAGATATTCCCATAAATCACCGTGGAGGTTCAAGGGACGCCTACAGCGAGCTAGCTAAAGAATGAGGACAAGTAACTTAATGGAGCAAAATTAATTTCGGCTGTGGAGGTCGACAGGGAATGTGGACTGACCCACGCAGGGGATAGCGCTGAGCAATCATTTCATTACCACACATAAGAGCTTAGCAATCTGCGGGAAGTAGCTATGTGAATTCACTTTCTTTGTATATGAAGTCCTTCATCGAATTTTACTTTCCTTTTCCTTCAAAATATGTAAAAGTCCAGGGCTCAAAATCTGGCATCTTTTGTCTCAGTAGGGACTTAAAAGGGCCACGTGCTTGACGCGTAGCTCGCCAGACGTAAAATAAACATCATCATCGTCATATTCTAACTTCTAATAGAAGTTATGATCTTTATTGTCGTGATAGTTTGAAGTTGAAGGCTACATTAGCAGAGATTTCTAAATCTCAAGAGCCTAAATGGCCAGCTAAAGGAAAAGATAGAATCTGAAGGGCCGTATTTGGTCTGGCACAGGGATTCACTAGCTGTCAAGTTGACAGCTTATTTGCAACCTCATGCCTAGCTCCTCAAAATCTCCCATAAGATTTCTTCATATCTTCTTGTCGCAATCTTTCCTCATCATGAAAGATGGTATTCTCTTGTCTATTATAAACCTTGGGAATACCAGGGCTCGAGCTTCCTGATTTTTCCGACGATATAGAATTGACGTGGTTAATGAGAGGAGTTTGAGAGGATACATCTGATTGGGCAGTGCGGCGTTTTCGGATGAAGAAGCGAGCAATACAGGCTATAGCGGTAAAGAACACTAAAATGCCAACTGTAGAACTGTCATTAGATGTACTTAACAATCTTGGGGAAAACTGACTAATAGAGGCTGTAACTGTGATTGCAGTTTCAGAGCCACTCCTCTGTCCATTCTGTTGAGCTGAAATTTTGGGCACATTATCAGAGCTCGAACCATCTTTTAAAGGTAGAGAGCTAGGATTTCCGGACGAACTTTCCTCACTTTCCTCATATTCAGCTGTAGAATCGGCAAAATTGACCAGGATTGTGGGATCAAGATTCGAGGTTTCTTCAGGCAGAGACGTTGAAGGCTTATCCTGTCCCGATAAGCGTTCAGAGGATGTAATGGGTGATGCTGACTGAGGAGTATTCGACGGTATTTCATCCAATGTACCTATCGAAGGATTCTGCAAGCCATTATTTGTATCTATCGATGGGGTAACGCCTTTGATTGTTGGGTCACTATCCAAAGACAACGAGTCTGATGGGGAAAAATCGGTACGAACGTCAGATCCAGGTAATTCAGGGCTAATAATTGATACGGGATCTTTATTCGGTATATTCTCGGATGAAATGATTGAAGGCCCAATTTGGGGCGAACTGATTCCTCCGTTAGAAGCTAATACGATTTTTGGATCTGGGACGCCCCCAGTGTTAAAGCTAATATCAGGATCTTTATTGATATCGGGTTCGGTAGAAATTATCCCAGGATCTGAATTCAGTTTTCCATCAGAGACAAGTCCCGACCTACTGCCCGAATTTGTCTCATCTCCCGAGCTTAATTGCTCATTGGAGCCTGACTTTTCATTAGAAGCTAATTTACCGTCGGAACCTGATTTGCTACCGGAGCCTGATTTATTATTAGAATCTGATTTGCCGTCGGAGCCTGATTTTCTGTTAGAGTCTGATCTACCGTCGGAGTTTGATTTGCCGTCTGAGCCTGATTTGCCGTCTGAGCCTGATCTACCGTCGGAGTTTGATTTGCCGTCTGAGCCTGATTTGCCATCGGAACCTGATCTGCCGTCGGACTTTGATTTGCCGTCTGAGCCTGATTTGCCGTCAGGGTTTGATTTGCCGTCTGAGTTTGATTTGCCGTCGGAGCCTGATTTGCCGTCGGAGCCTGATTTGCCGTCGGAGCCTGATTTGCCGTCGGAGCCTGATTTGCCGTCGGAGCCTGATTTGCCGTCGGAGTTTGATTTGCCGTCGGAGCCTGATTTGCCGTCTGAGTTTGATTTGCCGTCTGAGCCTGATTTGCCGTCGGAGTTTGATTTGCCGTCTGAGCCTGATTTGCCGTCGGAGTTTGATTTGCCGTCGGAGCCTGATTTGCCGTCTGAGCTTGATTTGCCGTCTGAGCTTGATTTGCCGTCGGAGCCTGATTTGCCGTCGGAGCCTGATTTTCTGTTTGAGTCTGATTTGTCGTCGGAACCTGATCTCTCGTTTGAGCCAGATTTATCCTCAGAGCGTTTGATTGATTCGGGGAAAAATTTTCTGCTATTATTCTGCTTATTTCCTATCGGTAGATCGGTATCAATCGTAGGCCTTATTGGCTCTGATAGTTCTGTTGCATGATTTTTGACTCTTCGAATTAGCGGCAATACTGCTGATTCTAATGTATCCTAAATGAGCTTTAGGAAACTTCTCTCATCACGCATCAACTTTCTTATTGTAAATCGTACCTTAAAAGCTGAATTGAATTCTATATTCGACCAGTCAGGCTGTCTTTCTTTGGCGGCAACCAGAAATAGCTCAGCTTGGTTGTCGATAAGTATACTTTTTTCTTTGTTATTTTGCACATTTTCGGTCACAATATTCGTCTCCCGATAAAGAGAGGATAACTTCATTTCATCGAATATATGTTGGAAAAAATATCAGCCCAAAGCGCGGGAAAGCTGAAAGAGTAAGACTATGAAGAAAAAATGGGAAGGCGAGATATTATTCAGTATTCTGCTGCGATATGTTTGGTTTTTGGCCGTAGACTGATACCTGGATCGCTGAATCTTTAATTGGTAAGTATGTGATCTTAACTGAAACTTGCAAAAACATGGTATCGAGTCGTCTAGTCATATCTGAAATCATAAACAGCGATTGATTAGGATGTTATAGTATCCTTGCATTTATTTTGTGCTGCGGCATTGCGGTGAATCTCGAAGCAAGCAACGTAGTATGGAGGGTTTCATGACTCGATAACGATCGGAAAGAGATCAAAATGTTCTGTCGTGCTATGATTTTCATGGCTAAAAGTTGAAGGTCAGTGAGTATTATATTGATAGTTATCTTATGAGCTAGCTGAATCAAATATCTTGGCTTTAGTTGAACAGACCCAGTAAAATTATTTTACTTGTCTAACGCCATGTGAAAAGTGCAGCTGAGTCTATCACGATCTTATTATTTTAAGTCGAACTAAGTTTCATTCAGCTTTTGACTATTCGTAGATGGAAATTGTGCGATACGATTTTTGTCATTGTTGTAAAGTTGCTATAGGAAATGGATATTTATCGAATACTTACAATGAGCCTCCAAATGTCAGACTATAAAGGTTAGTTTCATAATTTTCAGATGGTATGATTGGTTTGGTGTTCATTGCGCAACTCGTGATAATTGAGGTGAGAACTATCCAGCATGTTGGGCTTCGATCCTCGTTAGTTAAAAAAAGGATGTCTGATTTACTGCCCATGATAAAATGCCATTCACCTCGGCTTTAATCCTTGGAGATCAGACACCTTCCCCACGGAACCTTTTCATCCCCCCAAGAAAACAAGGTATCAGTGGAAACTGTGTGCGCGGGGAAAACTCTCAAAAGGTCTGTAGATCCAGCCGACAAGATGCGCATGTTAATCTAAACCTCTATTCTCTGTCATATGAGAAATCAACTTCATCAAATCTTCCACGGGCGTATGGGTCCAGAATATCCGGATTAAAGTAAACCCGCGCAAGGTTCGGAATAAGTGTTTTTTTTTTGCATCATATTTTAATTGCGTATGCAGCTATCTAGCTATGACACAATATCAAAGAAAAGTACAGAATATATGATTCAACGTAAGGGAAGAGCACTCATGCCTCGGATTTCATTTGCACGTGCCATTGCGAAGGTATGGCGGCTTTTTCTTCACCCCAAGTCAACCCTCATCCGTGAATATCCATCCAGGGAAACGTCTCAAAAACCCTGAGTTATCCAGACATGCCTCCGTCATCCATCAACTTTTCTCCGCGCGAAATGTAATCCTAGGTGTCCCCTTCCCAAGTGGAGTGGGTGCCCAGGCTACTCAAACTATACCAGAGAACACCACCAGGAGGCGAATCACTTCACCTTCCATCGTTTGCTTGTGTTTATAGTGTTAGCTGCACTCTCACAAGCGAAGTCTTGGCGCGCAGAAAGCTCAATTCGTAAAACTCTTACCAAAATTCAAAATGACACGCCCGTCAAGTTGTTTCCTTTCTTTGCATCATCTTGTGAGCTTGTCCTGATCCCTCTCACGTCCATCCCAAAGAGCTATCTTCCAGATTTGTGCTCCACGCTTTGTGTCCTCTGTCGGGTATAAATATCGGCGTGGGCGTGTATTTGGTGGTCGAGGCCAGAGAAAGTCGACGAGAGGTGTAGTCATTGGGATGAGGATGTACTTGGTCGTACTTGTAGACTTGATGAAGCTTAGTTGAAAATCGGACTCTTTGGGAGAGAAAGATTGATATGGTGGAATATTTTGGATTTTTGCCTCGTGGGCCAACTTCTTTAATATTGCGAAATTTGACTGAACTTGGCTCTGGGAGAATATTTCACTCCCAGGTTCGTAGAGGACACCGCGTACGGATGTTCAGTCTTGCCCTCCTCGGAATAAGTGTTGCACACACCAGTTCTGTTGAGTAATTTCACATCCGGATAGTAGTTGGCTTTATGTACATAGAAGATATACCATACATTTCACAACAGATCTTTACATACAAATACACAAGTACAATAAGGGCCCAGTGATATTGGCATCCAAGATGCACAGCCGCATCCGGAGCGGGGTATGCTCCGGAAACTCATCATGTGATTTCTCTTCCACGACTAAGACAATTGAATGATAAGTAGGGCGTTGACCATAGCATCTGATCTGATCATGGTTGGCTTCATGATATTGGTGCTAGGAAGATGTGCCAAGGTACGAAGACGAAGCAGACAGCGCAATCTTTTGGGAATCCTCATCGAATTTAAGATATCGGATGCGATTCTTCTTGATTACCGTAGATTTGCGGAACAACTAAGAGTATACACAGCCACTGCTAGCAGATGAAGAATTTATCTTTGCCGGCTTCAGAGGTATGTGCAATATGCACTGAGCAACTTTTAGAGCTAACTCTTGATTTGAACATGTAAAATATTGCACAAATTTTAGATTGTTACCAGACCAAATACGTGAAGAAAATTTAATGTTCAAACAGCCTCGATACAATGTAAAATGAAGGGCGAGAGGTTATGAGTGCTTAGTTGCAGCAGTCTCACACAGCTGGGATTACGGGACGTCTCTATACCGTAGAATTCTCCTCAACCAAGAAAATTGAAGCGCTGAAAACATGGAAAGACTGCAGCATGTTTCCCATTGTGTCATCCCAAGATAGCATGTCTGACTCGAAGTAGTGAAACCGACAAACTATTTCGGCACCTTTACTCCCGGCGAAACATGCAAGGATATAACCATGTAAGTTAGATCTTACGGAGATAATTTCGGTAGATAAGGTTTAACAAATACATGGATCATTATCGATCGTTTGAGCTCTTTAGTGCAGGTGTTTGATTTTGATATCTTTAACGTGACAGAGCCTCAGGTGTGCAGTATTAAGGCTGCGTGGATAGAGATAATAATTATAATTCTTTTCTTGGGCGACGGGTTGGGGGTGGAAAAGAAAAAGCCTAGAAACATGTCAGAAGTGTCCACTTCGAACCTAGTGTTGAAATATAATCACGGTGTCAGGCTTAGTTAAATTTAGCAATATCGAGGAAGTTGGTCCATGAATGTCGAGCTATTCGAGACTTCTAAATGGAGCTGAGTAAGGCTGAAAAGAAGCACACACAATCAAGCGTGCGTTTCACGTTGAATCTATTATCATTTTCCCGTAATCACTACATGTGTTTGCATTTAAGTTATTATCTGGAATTCATACTGTAGTTGGTTGCGCCTAAATTTTGCTGATTGTGTGTGTTGTTAGATTCCTAAATTCCTAGGCTAAAGTAAAAAGCTCTGAATCCTACTATTGGTACAGGACCGGTGGAGCCGATGAGGATCACTGTATACAGGCCCAACTCATTCCGACCACGTGAACTTCCACATAAATAATGGTGTTAACAGCAAGACTAAAATCAAAACCTTGCTCTTGGATACGCCCACAGCGTCCAGCTCGGTAAAAATACTAACCTTTCGCAAGCTCGCAATGAACTGGAAATGAAGATCACGCGGTCAAAATACGACGCCTGGGAAACTGGCTATCCGATGGTTGTTATGCTCAGCTATGTAGGATGTTAGATCTAGTAGCTGGTGCATAGGTAGTTATTATAGCAGCATGGCGTTATGGCGCATGGAGGAGATCCAGTCTCTACATAACTACATTACATGTAGTAATGTGTGCAGTATGAGAGATGGGTTGTTGATATAGGATAAATGGCATGGCTGCTTAGTTGGTTGCACACTTTGGTGAGCTGCATACTGGTAACGTGATCGGTCTACAAACGAACAAGCTAGGGGATAAGGGACGAGCTTCCCCCAATCTGTAATATAACAATTATCATAGTCACTTCACTTCTGCACATTAATGAAGACATCTCTTCACATACTGTCTTAGCTGTTCCAGCGCAAGTGTACATTCCCATTTCATATATCAAGTAAAACAATGGTGCCCAGGCCACGCAGGTATTCTCGGGAACGAAGCAGCTGGCGCGCTTGCCAAAGCTGCCTGTGCAGCTCCAGCTCCAAACTTAGAACTCTCTATTGCGAGGGCAAGGAGAGAAGTCAAAGCCCAATACGAGGCTTCAGTCGCACTATATTGGGCAGAAAATTCCCCTTCTAGATACAAAGAACTAGGAATTGGCCCTAAAACGAAAATCACCGTTGAGCTCGACCGTCTGGAGCGACGCGCTCTAGGATATCTACTAGCTTCACGCTCCGGTCATGGCGACTTCGCGGACTACCACCGACGGTTTTGGCATGAAAACGCAATTCTAACCTGCACATGCAGAGAAGAGAAGTCCCCTAACCACTTTTTCTATTGCCACCTCGGGCAATACCTAGCTCAGCTCCACAGGGCACAGAACTCTAATTCCAGCGCATCCTGGGCACTTGCTTCGGCGGAGGGAGTTGATGCATTCAATACTTGGGTCCGTGTCACAGATTTCTTCGGAAGGGCACAACGAACAGTCTGATTC